AGTCTGGAGGTCCAGTTAGGATTCACAAGGATTGGGAACTAGACACCAAGATGTTTTATACTAGAACCAGAATTGACGTTCAGAGGCCGGCTAACTGATACAGAGTGAGCAGCAAGAATGACCTGGATACTAAGTCAACAAATACCTAAGGCTGATTTTCCACCCATGATTCCTCCCTGAGTCAGAATTGGAATTGCACTAGTAGGGTGAAAGAATTTAGGTAGGCAGACTGGATGAGATTTGGAAATAAGTCCTCAAATTTCTAACATTTTACATACACAGGCGATCTGGTGTAAGGCCTCATGTTATTATTATTGCTGTGTGTGTCTGAGCAATCTCTTTACCTCTCTGAAGTCCAATTTCCTCTCTATAAGTTACTAAAAATGCATGCTCTTGAAGGTTCCTTTTAGTTCTGTAATTCCTGAATTCCTACAAAAGCCAAGTCTCAGCCTTTTTTTTTTAAATCTTACTCCTGCCTTTTTGCTCACAAAAGCGGTTTAATTTTCTTTGATGATAAAGGGACCAAGCTTGGTTTTAATTAACTCTAAGTGCTTTTATGCACAAAACAGAACTTTGAAATGCTTTATTTATAAGCAGATGTAATTGTACAGTTTTTCCAAACATTCCAAGGATAATGTTTCTAAGTGGGATATCCTCTTGCTGTTTCTGGAACCATATGTGATCTAGGCCTTTTCCATAATATCTAAACTGAGAGAGCTTTAAACAGGCAAGACAGACAGAAAGAAAAGAATAGCTATTTAAATTCTTTTACTACCAGGAATTCTTGAAAATATGTCTAAGTTGCTTTCTAGAATCTATGCCCTGAGTTGGTAGGGTAGACTCTTGAGTAACTTTTGTGTGAAATGAAAAAATATGAGCTTCTGTAATTGAGAATTAAGAACTTTCCCTTAGAGAAGGTTTTCCAATTACTAATAATGTGTGTGACCTTGGGCAAATGATTTTACAAATTTTTCCTCATCTGAAAGTAAGAGAAAGACACCACATCATTGCATTTGTTCTTAGTTTAAATATAACAAACACTTATGTGGTGCTCATAGGTGCCAGGCAATATCCTAAAAATTTTATAAATAATAACTCAATCCTTGTAATTACCCTCTGAAGGTTGGTACTTATTATCCCCCATTTAATACATTAAAAAACTGAGGCAAAGAGGTTGTATAACTTGTACAAGCTGAACAACTGGCAAGTAGCAGAACTGATTGCATGAGCTCACAGTTCATGCTCTTAACTGTTACTCTATGCTACATCATGAGAATTAAACTGAAGAAGCACCTGATGAAACACTTCACAACTCAGAATGATGGTGATCATCTTTGTTTAAATTGAATGTTTGGATTATGTGACAATTAAAATTTAGAGCCAGTTTTCACAGAGATAGATTATTATTAAAAGCATGCATATGACTTAGATTTTCAGATGGCACCTCAGAACATTGCAATGCTTTAATCATAATTTTCACTTCAGTGGTTATTGTATAATGTCAATGTACAGCAGAAATATTTGGTTGAATTCAAACAAACCACATGCATGTCCAGAAAGTTGCTTTTAAAAGTCAGTCTGTAATACATCTGTGTGCAGATCACTTTGCTTTTTTCATAAGAGAGTGCTAAGTATTTTTTAAAATTCAATTGATTTTTTTGTTGCTTAACAAAAAAAATAAAGAATATTTTTGTATTTGAAGATACTATTCTGTATGTGAAAATATTTATGTGCAACAAATATTCATAAAATAATAGTGCACATTTAAAATTGCTCTTTTGTTCACAGCCATAGCCACTATTTTTTGCACTTGTCACTAAAGTCAACATTGGATTTTACTCTCTGCTTAAGGACTTCTCATGGTATATAAGTCAAGAAGTGAAGAAACCTGGATTCTAGCTTGCAATAGACAGCTTTGAACAAGAAAATTAATGTCTTTGTACCTTATTTTCTTCATCTAGAATTAAGGTAGATTAGGCTACATGATTTCTAAGATCCTTTTCTCAGTCAAAACAGAAACACACAACATATAACTCTGAGATTGAAACATAAGATTAGAAACCAAAAATATTTCCATGTATGTAGAATTTAACTCCTATGCATCCATGAAATATTAAGAATATTATTCTAAAGAAAAGGGTGGGAGCTTGTAAGCAAGCTGAGTTTTTCCTGAAGTGATGGTTGATTTGCACTGACCTGTCCTTTCCTTTTTCACGGTCACTTGTGATCAGTGCCCCAAGTTTGCAGGAAGCTTGGCTGAAGTTAGCAGTACAATCTGTCCATGGGACAGAGTGAAACTTACCCACATGGTGGTGAAATTCATGACCTTAAGGTTGTGCGCCAGCACCGTGAAGTAACCCTTGATAGCCTAGATTGCTTACGTGAGTTCTGGGGAGGAATGCAAAGTAAGTGAAAGATCAGTGTGGAAATGGGTTTGGAAACAAGTCTTTTGTGAAAAAAACAGGGAGTCTCAGGAAAGCTCTTCAGAAAGCTCATAATTGGTGGAGAGGAGAGGAGGAAGGCATGTCTAATAGCTAAAAAAGAGTAAGCAATGGTACCAGATGGGAAATGAGTAGAGTGTCATGTAGGGAACAGTTGGACTGGAACAGAGGGAGCATGTAGGGAGCAGTAAAAGATGAGATGTAAAAGATGAGCAGTAAAAGACGGAAGCAAAGGGGAAGACCACTGAGACTTCGAAGGTGGAGTCGTAGGCAGGGTCACCTCTGATTAATTCCAAGCCGCAGCGTTCACATCCGAATCTGGCAGTGCTCTGTGTGGTGGTCCTGGCCCTCATGTCAGGCGTAAGAGTTTACATTGGATTCAGTAGCTAGGAGGCTGTTGTCGTAATTCAGGTTGTGAGGCAATAAGAGCCTAACTAGGTAACTGTCTTGAGGTTAAAAAGGAAGTATTGAAGTCCAAGACAACTTTAAAAAACACATTAGTAAGATTTAGTGGATGGATCTCATGGCCATAGGGAGGCTCTCCTGCCCCTATCCCACAGACTTAGAAGGGAACGTCTTTTTTCTGTTTTAGGGTTTGGCAACAAATTTGTAAGAATGATGATATTGCATATTTAATACTTATCTTACTTTTATAGAAAGGGCTATTGTGATACATGAATGGCCATTGTGTTCAAAGAATACTAGGGAAAGTAGGCTTTTGTGTTTATCATCTATACCCTTCAGAATAATTGACGATTCACAATAATTGACATCTGTCCAAGCTTCCATCATCACCATCTACTGAGATCACTGTTGTCAAGGTCACCGATGACTTCCTTATTGTCAAATCCAGTGGCCTCTTCTTTGTTTATATTTTATTAAACCTCACCAGTGTTTGATTCCATTAACTACACCCTCCTTGAAAAATTTTTTTTTCTTGTGTCTTTCAAGATACCATATTTGACAGCTGCTTGTAGTGGTTCATCATCTACCTAATTGGTTCTTGTTGGAGGGCCCCAGGCTCTATTAGGAGTTTCCTACATATTCCTCTGGGTAACTCTTGACTCTTAACACTTTCCAAATGCCAATGATTCCCAAAACTATACCCCAACCCTGCACAACTACAGTGACCTCCTAACTAGTATATCTACCTACTTTGAATCTTTCCTGTTTTATTATCAACACTAGAGGCCCGATGCACGAGTTCACGCTACCTAATTGGTTCTTGTTGGAGGGCCCCAGGCTCTATTAGGAGTTTCCTACATATTCCTCTGGGTAACTCTTGACTCTTAACACTTTCCAAATGCCAATGATTCCCAAAACTATACCCCAACCCTGCACAACTACAGTGACCTCCTAACTAGTATATCTACCTACTTTGAATCTTTCCTGTTTTATTATCAACACTAGAGGCCCGATGCACGAAGTTCACGCAAGGGGCTCGGCCCTCAGAGCCCTGGCTTCGTCTAGAAGGTTTGGCTGTCCGATCTAATTAGCATATTACGCTTTTATTATTATAGATAGCAACCAGGGTGATGGTTTTAAAATGTAAGCCAGATCATACCATTTCTCTAGTTAAAACCCTTCAGTGGTCCCCTTGGCATTTGGGATAAAATCTAAACCCCTTGTAGCTTCAATATCCTATCCAATCTAGTCCCTGGCCACCATTCTAAACTTCATGTCCTACCACTTTCCCTCTCTCCCACTGCCATTCCAGCCTCTCTCAACCTCCTTTGAGTTCCAGACACGTTACCCATTCATTCTCACCTTATACCCTCTGCTCAGAATACTCTCTCCCCTATTTTTCAAAAGGCTAGCTTCTTGTTCAGATCTCAGCTTAAATATTATCTGCTCAGAAAAGCCTTCCCTGAATACTCTATATACAGCATTCATACATCACTCTCACATCACCCTTTTGACAATGATGGCACAGCACTTAGCACCATCTGATTTTTTCTTATTAATTTGTTTTTCTCTGCTCCCACTAGAATGTAAGCTCCAATTCTCAGTATCTAGGAAAGTGCCTGGCACACAGTAGGTGTATGATGAATATTTGTTGAATAAATGAAGTCTTAATACCTACTACATACTGGTTAAGTCAACTGAAAGTCCTATTCTTTGAGCATAACCTCTTCTGCTAATTCTTTACACCTATCCTCAGATCCATCCATATATGTTTCTCATCAATATGAGAGTCTAGCTTTCACCTAAATTTTTTTTTAATTATTCTTAAGCCTAGGCCAGTGTGGATCGGTTGGAGCATCATCCTGTATACCAAAAGGTCATGGGTTCAGTTCCCTGTCAGGGCACATACCTAGGTTGTGGGTTGGATCCCCAGTTGGGGCACATATAAGAGGCAACCAATTGGTGTTCCTCTCTCTCAAATCAATAAACATATCTTGGTGAGAGTTTTTTTTAAGTTTATATTTACAAAGAGAGTAAAAGAAGTGTTTCTTTTACTCTCTTTGTAGACTGCTAAGTTCCAGTCTTTAACACTAGAACCTGTATGCTTCACAATTCCCCATGTATGTCTTCATAAATTCATATATATATTTAATTTTAAATCCTTGAGGGGTACAGCGTTACACGGATTCTGTGTATAATGGCCTTAGCAAGAAGGTTGCTTTGGAATTTGACATAAACAATGCCACTGTTTCCATGAGCACGAGTTACCTTTCCCCAGGTTACTCTGGTTTTGTTTGGTTTGTCACCAAGAGTCACTGTGTTGTTCTTTGCCTTGTACACATAAGCACATCTCTTGCCTAGATAGAATTCAGTTTCATCTCCAGCATAAACACCTTCAGTTGTTTTTATTTTATTTTATTCTTTACACTATTATAGATGTCCCCATCCCCCCACGCCCCACTTTGCCCACCTCCACCCAGCCCTTGCCCCCTGCCCCTTCCCTCTGGCCAACACCACGCTTTTGTCTGTGTCTATGGGTCATGCATATGTGTTCTTTGGTTAATCCCTTCATCTAGTACCCCCTCGCCTCTGACAGCTGTGGGTCTGTTCCATATATCCTATTCATGCCTCTGTTCCTATTTTGTTCGTCAGTTTATTTTGTTCATTAGTCTCCACATATGAGATCATATGGTATTTGTCTTTCTCTGACTGGCTTATTTCTAAACACCTTCAGTTTTAAGAAGAGCTGTGTGCTCCTCCTGGTTCCAGAGACCCCACTTATAGCCAAGAAAAATGGCCTTGGACCTCAGCCTTCCACACACTTTGTTGTTTTACAAGCCCTGTTCCCAGCAGGCCTCCACAAGCTCCAAGAGGAAAGAGGAAAGAGGAAGGTCACAAATTCCTATGTTAAGGAACCAAACATAGTAGGGGTTCTACAAAACAATAACTAATTAAAGTACATGACACTAGGTAATGCTTTTATTTATGTGTTACTTTTCAATTAATAGGCCTTATCATTTATCTAATCCTAGTCAGAGAATAGTAATTTATTTCAAATTTAGTTTATGGCCCTTGAGGATGTGACTCAGTTGGTTGGAACATTGTCCCATACACCCAAAGGTTTCAGGTTCTGTTCCCTGTCAGGGCACATGTCAATGTTTCTCACATCAATGTTTCTCTCTCTCTAAAACCAAGTAAATAATAATAATAATAATAATAATAATAATAATAATAATAATAAATGCAGTTTATGTTTGTGTGTTTGCTTTATAGGACTGATAATAGTTTGTTAGTATGTATATCTTTCAGTGCATGTATGCCTATGTATACCACAAACACATAATCAACATTCTTATGAAACATTGTGTTTTCACTTACACTGTAGATATCTTGTCAAAAGTAGATTTATTTTAGATATGTATCACAGTATATTGAGCTAGTCCCATATTATTGGACATTTAAGTTTATTCCATTTTTTAAAACTGGTATAAACATTTTTAAATCCCTTCAATGACACCCCTGACAATTGTTTATCAGTCTGTCCTTGAACCCTGTGATGAAGAATTTACTTCCCAAGTTAGTGGATTTGTCTGTGGATCCACTCTGATTGTTCACAGTTTTTCCAGTGGCCAAATTGTTCACCTTTTTTTTGGACAGAAAAGATGGCAAACTTTAAGACTATGGGTAAACTCCAGAGCCAGGCGAGCATGTCACTAAAAAGCAGCAAGTCCAGTCACGGCTCTCAGCCAGACTGTGGTGTAAGCACAGTCCTCATGGAGGTCTTGGAGGAAGAGGGGCTCCGAACGATGTTGTGATTGATTACTTTCCAATCTCCAATGACCTGTCTCTCATAGCCTGTGGAACATGATAAAATTCTTTCTGTTTTCTTCAATGTTATAGTTTCCAAATCATTTATCTCTTGTAAAATGTGTAACTAGTAGGTAAGCCTCGCCACATTTGTCTAGATTTGAAACACTTTTTGTTTTTGTAAAGGTAAATTGTTTGTAGAGGTCCTGAAATCATAACTTATTTCTGGAGTAAGTTATGTTGTGTTTGTCTTTAATATCATCAAAATATCAAGTTATATCTATTGAGTTTTCTTTCGCCTGACATGATATTTCCCAGTTGCTATTCATATTCTTTACTACAGTAAACTCTGCTCGCTGGTATTTTAGAGGTTGACATTATCAAATTTAAACTGTGCAACTCTTTTAATGACTAGTGATTAATATTCTCATTAATTAAAATTCAGACACCCATAAATTTTTCCTGACAAATTTCTAAAGGTTGTCATCACATAGTCACATGCACGTATTATGTGTTTCATAATACCATTGTATAGTTCATACTGTTCCTTGCAGTGCTTATGTAACAGTTACATAGCTAACTAACAGATAACTGCTGTCATCTCTAACCTTTGTTTCAATTATCTCATATAAATATTCACTACTCTGGCTAAGTTCAATAAGTCATTCAGAGGATCTCAGATCATGGTTTTGGAGTTTACTATCTGAGCAGATAATGACCAAAATAACCCAATTTTAGTCAAATGTTGATTATTCAAAAGTGCTTTTTTATAATAATTCAGTTTTTATTGCTTTAAATGTGATGATTCCTAATGTATAAGTAAGCCATTCCTGCTAGAGCTTTGGAGATGAATTATAGTCTTGCAGGCATACGGATAATGAGTGAAAGGGTACTGTTAGCCCAAAAGACAACAAAAACACTCTCTCATACTCCCTTTCCACATGCCCTCTCCCTCCTCCCTAATCTGACTGGGTAGTTTTCTCTCAGCAGTAGAAATACTATACTTTTTTTTTTTTTAAGTAGCACATAAATATTGAGACATTAGTTAGGTTGTGGGCCACCCTTAGTAGCTGACAGCTGGGCACCACTCAGCATTCCATAGATCGGGAGCCACTGCTCTGCCACAGTTCTTAGCTCCCCAGAATTATCCCACAAACTGAGGGAGGGGCCAGGATGAGCCCAGAGAAGTATCCCAGGAGCTAATATGCCATGTAGCCCATGGTAAGCCTGAACTGGCCTTGAAAACCTGCAGAACCAGCAGAGAAAGCTCCCCTCTGAAAGACACCATGATTTACCTTAGTGAGTCCCAGGTGAACACAGGAAACGCCCGATTTATGTATGACCTCATTGGACCCTGGAGGAGAGTTGAAAGTAGAGACCTCTTCTTTTTCCCCCCATTGGCACATTATTATAAACTAGAGGCCCAGTGTACATGGGTAGGGTCCCTAGGCCTGGCTCGCTATCAGGGCCAATCAGGTTCCCCGCCTCCCCACCCCTCTGCCTCCTCCTTCCTTTGCTTCCTTAGCGCCCCACCACCAACACTGGTTGCCTGCCATGTTCCGCACCTCCCCCTGGTGGCCAGCGCATGTCATAGCGAGCAATCAAACTCCCGTTCTCCTGGTTGAACTCCCAAAGGGACACTTGCATATTAGCCTTTTATATATATAGATTAAGGTACTATTCCTGGAAACTAATTCTATACCATAAATATTCCAAAATGTATTATTAAAATATATGTTGAATAGATATTATTTTCATTTATAATTTTACAAACATAATATTAAAGTATATAAAAACAAAATTTATACCCAGAATGAATGAAGACATGTATGGGGTGGTTAAGAATCTAGATTCTAGAGCCAGACTGTATAGGTTCAAATTCCATCTTTGCTACTTCTTAGCTCAGTGATCTTACACAGATGCTTTAACCTCTCTGTGCTTCAGCTGTCATAAAAGGGTGGTAATTGTTCTCGCCTCCTAGAGCTGATCTGAAGACTAAACGAGTTCATGTGTAGACAGTACTTAAAACTGGTAGTGCCTTGACAGTGTCCCTAATTGTTAGCTCTTATTGTAGGTGTTATAAATGGTCAATTTAAGGAAACTTCCTAAATGGTCTTAAAATACCAGTTCAATCAAGTTGGCATTCAAGGCCCCTTCTTTTCCTGGTGAGCCTGCGTTTGTAGGCATTCTCCAGGCTCCCCTTTCAAGGCTGCTCAGGTCCATCTCCAGTCCTGCCAGTTCCACATTTTCCACTCAGGTTGCACTTTCTCTTTCATGGTTCTGCTCAACAACTACCTCTTTTGCAAAATTTTACCACTATCTGAGCTTCTTTGGAATATATTAAAAGTTGCAGTGTTCTCTTTGTCTTCAATATAATCTCTGAATTATAAGCCCTTGTAGATTAAGAGCTATGTAAAATATAGCACTCTGTCCACCTGGGGCCTAACACAGTGTAGCAGGCACATACTTAAAATATATGTTGCTTAATCGGATTGCACAACAAACTGAATTTTGTGTGTGCACATGTGTGTACATGTGCATGCATGTTCAACCTGTGTAACAAGATAGAAATTTTGAAAGTAATCTGTTTTTAAAAATTAGAGCACTTGTAAGAAATTGAAAAATTACTGAAAATAAGTGAAAATACCTGCAGGTTAGATTGTTTGGAACTGCGTAGTAACCAAAAAATATCACAATTTATGTCTAGCAATTCAGGCCTGCACCGCCTGCTGGATAATTACAGCATTTCTCCCTCTGAAACTGCTACTACTGCCTAGGAAAGGCAGAGAAGATCCCTGTGGCTATAAGTGTCCACATCACAGAATTAGGGCTTCAAAGTTAAGGAAGGGAGAAGGGAGAAAAGGGGAAGAGACATGCATCTGGATCTGCATATTTCCCTAATCTATAATAATAAAGGGTAATATGCTAATTAGACTGGACATCCTTCCGGGTATCCTTCCTTCCGAACAAAGCCGCAGCGGGCAGGTGCTGAGGCAGAGATGGCAGAGGCTCTGGCCGTGGCGGCGGGGGCTGGAGCCAAGGCCCTTGCACGAATTTCGTGCATCAGGCCTCTAGTATTTAATAATAGTAATAAAACATCTTAGCCTAAAAGGTGACATAATAAAACACTTTAACCTTTGGCTAGTGTTGAAGGGTTTTGTGTGAAAACTATTATACTTGACATCCAAAAACATAATTATCTATAGGATTAAAAATGGCATTCCTAAATCTTTGGTATTTTAACTGAAGTTTGCATAAAACCAATTTTATGCCATAATTTTTACCAGCTTTGTCTTAACTGGAATTTTGAATTATGCATCATCTCCTGTCTCTGTGTACCTGGTGAATCAGGAGTTTAATTGCCTCATTTTTATTCTCTTTTCAGTCCTTTGTTAGTGAATATACTTGAGTATGGAATGTGACAGTTATTTTAGACATAAAAGATGAGTTCTTATCAAGAGAGTTCATTAAAGCAGGGGATTTTTTCTTTCTCTCTTTTTTTTAAATACCAGATACTCTAGATGAATATTTTGAATACGATGCAGAGGAGTTCTTGGTCTCCTTGGCCTTGTTAATAACAGAAGGACGAACACCTGAATGTTCTGTAAAAGGTCGTTCAGAAAGTTTCCATTGCCCTCCAGCACAGTCCTGTTACCCAGTAACCACCAAACATGAATGCAGTGACAAGCTGGCCCAGGTAAGAATTGTGTGTTGAGTTCTTTTTATTTATCTTTTATATAAACTACACAGATTCTGTCATCACTTTTGTTACACTGCAATTACAATGCCCACATTTAAATATAAAGTCGGTCACAGCCGTTAACGAAGAAAATCCTAATCCTGGACCATAGCCAACAACCTTGGCTCTTGAACCAGCTCTGGGAGGCACTGCGTAGTTTTGCTGATCGGCAGGCAGGTGGGCAGCCGATTTCAGACCTGCCTTCTCACACACCAGGTTTAACATTCTATTTGCTGCTGATTCAGCTTTCTTTCTTTTAGAGTCTCAGCCCTGGCTCATTGACTTTATGTTCTTATTTATTTAGTGGACTGATGTTAATAATTATTTTCCCCACATTAACCAAATTTCTATATTTCTTTTTTTTTAATGGGTGGATGCATTTTGCTATCATATTAATGTTTTGGGATAAAATACGGTTAAACTATTTATTTTGGTAAGTACTATCTAATTTGCCGTAAGGATTTTTTCCCCAGTTAGTTTCTTAAATGTAGTCCAAAAATTTTAACTGGTATATATTGTATATACTTAATCTTGTATATATTGAGCATTTAATGAAAATGAGTATTTAATATTTTGATCTTCGCTTAGAATGAGTCTTTCCTCTGTAATGATGATGTAATTAACAAACTAGGCAATGCTAGGCCACCTCAAGAAAGAGCAAAGATGTCCCTCCCCACCAGAAAATTTGCATCATAAATGTTGTTCAAAACTAATCCTTGAACTTTAGATCTCACTAGTGTGAATTCATTATTTAGTGAGGAAACCTAAATCGGCAAATCTAAGCGAGTTCTACAATTGATGACTCATTTCTCATATAGATATGTACTTTACAATTGTAATTTTCAAAGTAAAATATACACTTGTGGGGTTTACTGAGACCTTCGGCTTATATTCATTTTCTCGAAGTGTCGCCAAGCCAGACGAACCAGGTCTGAGGTCGCGCTGCTGTGGAAGAACAGCCTTCCGATCATGGTGGAGGTGATGCTGCTGCCAGACTGCTGCTACAGCGACGAGGGGCCCACCACGGACGGCGTGGACCTCAACGACCCTGCAATCAAGCAAGACGCATTATTACTAGAAAGATGGGTGTTGGAGCCGGTTCCTCGGCAGTAAGTTGTACAACTGAGTTTCAAGTTGTTCCTGGTAAATCAGGTTTCCCACAACTTTCTGTACATTATTGTAATAATATATACTTTTTCAGTATCCCTCTATTTATGTAGTAAAATTTAGTACAGATATAACTGTAGGCACTTAGTACAGTTATAACTTTAAGTGACAACCGGTAAATCTGCTATGCTCTTGAAAGCAGACATCCTGAGGGATATGTTTGTTTCAGCTTCTATCAAAAACTCAGTTATTTTGTACTTGCTGACATTTAGATGATGTTTTTTTTTTACTTCCCTTAGGAGTGGTGATCGATTTATTGAAGAGAAGACCCTTCTATTGGCTGTCCGCTCATTTGTGTTTTTTTCTCAGTTAAGTGCTTGGCTGAGTGTTTCTCATGGTGCTATTCCACGAAATATTCTTTACAGGTATGTGAAGGCACAAAAAGAGCAGTGTGTATTCAACTGCATTGGTTAGCTCCTGAATGATATTTTACCTTTTCAATATTTTATTTCTTTCATTTCTAAATATAAGTGGATACAATTTACTGGCATTTTTCTCAAAACAAGTTACAGAAATGTTGATAAGAATCAGTATGAGTTTTGTTTCTCAGGTTATATTTGATGTGGAATAGTTTGCAGAGAACTTTTATGCTTGGTTTATAGAACCAACAGTGAACTTAGTGCTGCCATTATAAATAAAGTAGAAAAACGTTCAGGGCTGCTGAATTTCCGTAGTGGCAGGCTTTCTTAATTTTTGCCATTTTGATAACTATAAACATGCAAACTGCTGAACAACTATCTATAATTGTCTCTTTAGGCAGGTGGCCATCAGATAGAGTATCTCTTAATCACCTTGCACAATAGAATTAGCTGAATCCAATTGTTTAGTGGTAAATACAAAGTCCTTTTATTCTTTCTGCTCTGACAGGTAATTTTAAACTGTAATATTCTTGAGCTTTAATGCTTGCGTGGTCGGTCTAGTGTTCTTAAAAAGAAGATCATCTCTACTAGTATTTGAAGCATGATCTATACTTCTTTTGTTGGTTTTGTCAGAATGACATGCATGGCAAAGTAGCTAAAAGCAAAACCTCAATCATAATTAATGCAAACAAAGATAAGTATATGACTGTTTAAAATTTAAAAAAATACTATACAGTAATGATTTTCATAACCCATCGATTCCATATTTTTCTGTGTGATTCTAGAATCAGTGCTGCTGATGTCGACCTGCAGTGGAATTTTTCACAGACTCCAATTGAACATGTGTTTCCTGTTCCCAATGTTTCTCACAATGTGGCCTTGAAAGTCAGCGTTCAGTCCTTGCCCAGACAATCGAATTACCCAATTTTGACGTGTAGTATTCATACTAATATTGGCCTTTATGAGAAAGGAATTCAAGAACACGAACTTCAAGCCCATCAGCACCACAGTTCTAACGAAGCAGAACAGTGTAGTACGAACAGTTCACAGCGTGTGTGTAGCAAGCAGACGTGGACCGTGGCACCTGAAAGTGTATTACATGCAAAAAGTGGCACCCCTCCAGAATACACTGCAGCTGTCAAAAATGGCAAACTGTATCCAGGCCCTGGCAGTAAATCTGACTATGGAACTTGTCAAGCCAACATTGTGGGCTTCAGTGGTACAGGAGATAAAAAGTCACATGAAACATCAGTGAGGACTTTAAAATCATTTTCAATGATTGATTCCAGTGTCCCCAGTCGCCAGAGTTCCTGGCAGCCAGTTGGTGAGACTAATCCTTTAGTATGCTCTTTAATTCAGGATCGACAAGAAGTTATTGCAAGAATTGCTCAGCATTTGATCCATTGTGATCCAAGCAGTTCACACGTTTCTGGACATGTATTTAATACTCAAGAGTCTAGTTCAGTTAATTCCAAACTTTTCCGGGTTTCACAAGAAAATGAAAATGTGAGAAAATGTAAAGAGACTTTCTCCATTTCTTTCGGTAGTCCGGAGCTTACCTCCTCAGAAGACAGCAGTGAGGGGAAGATCCGAGTAAAACCAGAAATTCCTCGAAGTGAAACTTGTACTGCTAATGGTCTTTATTCTCATCGGTCTGTCGGGGAGACGAACCCTTTAATAGGCTCATTACTCCAGGAGCGGCAAGATGTGATTGCAAGGATTGCTCAGCACTTGGAGCACATTGATCCAGCAGCATCACGTATACCCCGGCAATCGTTCAACGCACATGACTCTACTTTGGTTCCTTCTAAAGTGTTTAGGAGTTCATACGAAGACAAAAATTTGTTGAAGAAAAACAAGGATGATGCCTCTGTTTCCATCTCTAATACAAAATGTTCCTTATTAGAAGACTGCAATGAAGGGGAAAGCCTAATACCTACTAAATCTCTTAGTTCTTT